TTCATAATCCTCTCTTGGTAATGGTGGAACAAAAGACCTAATTTAATAAAGCATGGTAAGGAACGCACGCATTCTTTATTAAATTAGCTCTTTTTTCCCTTCCTTGTTTCGTTCTTTGTCTCTTTTGTTTCGTGGCTCATTTCACGCTTTCACTTCTTTCCATTGTAAATGAGCCACGCACAAAAGTACAAAGAAGAGAAACAGGAACCCTTGACCTTTATTTCACTACCACCGCACATCCTGGTACATTCTTATGCTTGGAGAGGTTGGTTAGTTCACAAGGCCTTTGGTACCGTCTGGAAGGTGTTATGATGGTAGTGGGAAGGGAAAGGCAACAACGTAATCAGGAACAAGATTACACTCTTTGTCTTAGGGCTATAGGAAGAGAATACCTGGCTTTTAATTAAGTGGAATCAACATCATGAATCCCTTGCCTTTATGATTGAGGCCCAAGAATAAGAGGATGAATGTACAGTGAGGCATAAGATGAAGATAGCCTTAATGTGAGGAGATTAGAAGAATATTATGAAGCTTCTCCAAGATACGAAAGGATTCTGTCCAAGATGTTAAAGGTCTCTACCATTAAGATTAAGGATTCCTAGATTGTTTCCCTTCCAAGGTTCTAGGGTCTCCAAGATAAGGCTACATTTCCTACCATTAGAATTCAGCCGAAGAGAATATGATGCCACCGTGACTCCTATAATCTTACCCTTAGAAATCCATTATATCCAGGCTCTAGGAAATAGACGTCCAAGATTATGAAGCCTTCCGAGATTATAAAAGTGTCAGGAACAGTTTCTCCTATAATTAAAGGATACAGTGGGAAGAGAATATTATATAACTAAAAGACCAAGAATTCTCTTCCCTTTATATTTAATTGAATTAGAGATAGAATTCCATTCATCAAGATCAACCCACTATAATTATATTTCCTGAAGGTTTGGTATTCCTTAAATAATATAATGATCGTTTTCTCTTCCTTGTCATCCCATTCTATTAATATTGGGTGTAATTGCTCATTAAATCTTCACTCGTTTAATATTTATTAAGAGATTACGAAAGGAATTAGAGAACGAAGTGAAGAAATGAATAATGGAATCTCTGAGCCTTGGAAATAAAGATGAAGGGAATGCGTGTCCTTTAATATTAAGAAACTATCTCCAGGATGCTTTGTTTCCATTAATAATAAAGGTTGGGATGGTTCCTTTAGTTAAATTCTGGTAATTCCTCTCTCTTCTTGTTTTATCTCTTATTCTTGGTTTACTTTCTCTTTATAGGAATAGAAATAGAGATAAAAGACTAAGAAGATAAAATAATTGAATTAACTTCGTGTCTCTTCCTATTTCTATTAATTATTATAAAATGGAATGAAGAGCGTGTTTAATTTCTATTTCTTAATAAATAATACGCTCATAATTAATAGTTGTAATCTCTTAACCGTTTATCCTCATTATCTTTATAGGAAATAAAAAACCATTAATATAAAGATAAAATCATCCTTGTTCCCGACATTACGAATTCTTGGTTATATTTTCTCTTATTAGGAATTACTGATATCGTTCTTGGAAATCCAGTTCCTTTAAATATAATGAAGATAGAGAATGAAAGGAAATTCTTTTAATTCATCATAATCTTTTATTATTGGTATTCTTTCTAGTGGGTTATTTTCAAGGAGATATTCTTTCACTTGGTTCTGTTTCCATTTCTTCACTGTTATCTTTATTCTTGTCCTTTAATATTATGGTGTGACTGGAATATACGAAGAGAAACGCATGCTTATTTATTATTAAATCTTCATCATATTCTATTCATCCATCTTCAAATCTTGGTAATCTCTTAATAAATGGAAAATGTGAGAAGAGATTTCTGAAGTTAAAATATGAAAGTGAAACAATATTTCCTATAATAATAAATGGTGAAGGAATTCTCTTTATCTTAGTGGTATAGGAGGAAAAGACTTTGATCATAATGAATGTTGTTTCTCTCTCTTAATTATTCACTATCAAAACCTTGAGAACATTCCATGACAAAGAACCTTCACCAAGCATCCATCCACTTATTATTAAAGGAACCAAGATATGCATTATTTAGCTACATTCATTACCTTCACCAAGATCACCATTAAGCCAGATAATAAATAAGCAAGAGAAACAACCTTAATTTCCATGAGATGTCTTAATTGTTCCTGATTCTATTTTATCTCATCTCCTGTAATCCTAATGGTGTAGGTCTTATAGGAAGAGGAAAAGAATACGAAGATAATGAATCCTTATTATGCTCTCACCTTACGACCTTTGAGATTGAGGCCAAAGGAATTATGGTTGATCTTGAGTCTAATTAAATGACAGAATAGACGCTCCGCTCATTATTTTATTCTCTTAGACCTATAATAATATGAAGAGAGTGTCCAAGATATAAAATAAGCCTTCCATAATGTCACGGTCTCTAAGCTTACAATGAGTCCAGGATTCCAGCATATAGAAGATTCTACCATAAAGACAACTTCCAATATTAAACAGGGTTTCCAAGCTTTACAAGAGGAGTTGGTGGAGTGATGAAGTGAGTTAATTTCTGTAGTTTTTATTTAATTAAACATAAAGGAGAGGAACGAAGTGAGCGTATGCATGGTTTAATTAAGTTAAAACAAAGAAATTAGGGAACGAAATAAGGAACCAGAAAAGAAGATAAGAAAAAGAAGTAAAATACCAAGAATTAGATGAAAGAAATGTAATGCTGTAAGAAAAAAGAAAAGACAACTATAAAGTGAATCATTAATTGAATATGCGAGAATACGAAATTCTTTAATCTGCAAACTAATAAAAAGAGAAGATAAATAGAATGACCACAAAGTGAAGAAAATAATATATTGTGATGAAATTTCTAAATTAATAAAAGCATTTCCTAAAGATATAGCAGCATTAGATAAAAGAAGTGTATTAGCGAAAGTTAATTCACAAGGATCTGGAAGATAGAAAGCTTCTCCAGGCCACATCCCTAAAGTTGGAGAAGATAATAAATGAAAAGATGTCCAAAAGAAGGATACAAATAATAGAGCTTCAGAAACTAGAAAACCCCCAAAAAGAAGAAAAAAGATTATTAATAAGACTTCATATTTTTTAGTGAATTCTCTTAATAAATCTCTAGACCAAATATGAAAACTATAAATTAATCCAAATAAAAGATGATAAAATATAAGAAAATAATTCTATGAGAAGTGAATTCCAGTACAACAATAAATATTAAATCCTGTAAAGATAAATAGAATTATAATAAGAGCAAAGATTAATAACCAAGAACTATTAATAAGAAAACAAAATGAATCTGATGTAACTTCTAAATGTTTAGATTTCCAAAATACCAAGGGAAGTGAGTCTAATTTAAATATAAAGGAACACGCGTACGTTTCTCTTCCTTGTTTCCTTTCATTTAAATTACACACACTTATTCGTTTCATTATAAAATAGTAAAAGGAAAGTGTACCAGTGTAAAGTTATAGATGTAAAAGGTGTAAAAGGAAATAAAGATAAAGGTAATGAGGATTCTATAGCCTAATTATAAGAAAGAAAAAATACCAAGAAAAATTGGATTACAAATAGAATTATTAAAAGAGAAACACAATTAATTATTTTCTTCTTATTTCTAACTCAATTCTCTTATTTGTTTCACTTTGTTCTCTTTCTTTTGTTCATTCCATTCCTTTTCTTTCGCTTAATTAAATTAATCACGCATTCCATTACGTTATCTTCATTTGTATTAATTTAAGCGAAACAAGGAAGTGAATGAATGAAAGAAGAGAAAATTAGGAACGGTTAAAGAATTCCTGGTATTCGAGGAGTCACTTCACCGTCTAGGAGGTTTATTTATATTTACAGGAGTTCGTATCTTGGAGGTGGTATATTATATTACAGGAGTTCAGAGATTACGTTCCTTTCATATCTTCAGAGAAACCGTTCACGTCTTGGAAGTTGTTCATCTTTACAGGATATCTTTATAGGAATGGCATGATGGCGGTGAGGCTAGATTCTTAAGCTTGGAAACCGTGTCATCTCTCATTATAGGAAGATATTAAGCTCTCAGTCTAAGGCTGAACGGTTCTTGGTATTTCTTAATTAATGGAATGCGTCTTGGAGGTAGAGGAACGGTTGGTAGGAAAGTTAGCGTCTGGAAGGGAACCCTCAATATCTTGGAGCCCAATTATAATCTCGGAAGGCATGAATTCTCTCTTTATATTGAAGGTACGGTAAACGAGATCAGAGATTAGGAAAAGAATGGCGTGAACGGTGGAACGGTAATAAAAGGTCAATCTTATGAACACTGCGTTCCTTTATGGAAATTAAGTTGCTTTCCCTTCGTTAAAGGAGTTCCCTTCATGATGTTTAATTAGGCTTCTTCTAAACTTACAGGATTAAATGTAATGAAAGATTATTAAGTTTAATTTATTTTATTTTAATTGAGTTAATTTCTACCGTATCTTCACATTATATTTAACACCGCTTTCTATTTCCATTTCTATAATTTAACGAAGAGAATTCTCGCTTCATCATATTCTATTTCATCATATTATTCTCTTATTTCATTATCTTCACATTCTATTTTATCATTAATTTCTATTCCGTATCCTCTTCCTATAGCTTTATAATAATGTAAACCGTGTATTATTTATAGGAATGGTATCTTGGTACAATAATAAGGCTTACAGGATATCTTAGTGCCAGGATCCTTTTATATCAAGGGTATAGGAATTACAGGATTAGCCTTATAGGTAGAATGTACGAAAGAGAAAAGAACAGTGAATTTAATGAAAGAAAACAATGAAGAATGAAGCGTGTTTCTTTTAATTTAAATTCACTGTGCTTTTTCTTGACATTCTATTCCTTTCATTATAGTTATCTTTATAGGAATATCCCTTTATCTTCTATTTCTTGGTAACTCATCACATTCTATCTTCATTTCTATCACTTATTACTTTCATATCTTGGTTATTTAACTTTACTTTCCAGGTTCTATTTCTTACTGTCGGCTCAAGCTTGGAAAGGGTACAGAGGGAAATGAAAGCATGAAGTGAAGATAGAAATTAAGGTCAGGAACAACAACATCAGGATCTACCATTATATCCAGGTCATAAAGGAAGGTGAGTCAGGAAGGAGATTATAGGAATGGATTAACAGGGAAACAAAAGGCTGTAGGTAAAAGCACCATGAAGAGAGGATTTTGACTGGAGATTTAATGTCTGGAACGGAGCCTTCAAGATCATGAACGGTTTATTTCCTTTGTCTTTGGCATGGTTCGTTTCGCATTCCATCATGAGAGATTCTTTGTCTTCTTTGCGCTAGTCTTAATGGTAAATCCTGGTGATCTTGGTTGTTCATCCTGGTCATTCAGTCACTGTGTGAAGATAAAGAAGGAAATCTCAACCTATTATTAAAGGACACGGTTTCCATTATTATAAATTAAGAGATGAAAGGAATGGAAACCGTTCTTAATATCTTTATGGGAATGGAATGGTTGCTTGGTTTAATTAGCGGTAAAGAGAATTCCTGCAAAGTAAACAAGGAGAGAATTCCATGCCATTAGATAAAAGTAATTCTTTTTATCATCTAATCAACCCATTCAATAAGAGAATTCCATACCAACCATAAAAAGTAAATAGCTGGAGAGCGAAAAGAATACGATGATGAACAAGGCATGATTCGTTTACCTGGTCATTGTGTCACGGCCTTTGGAATAAAGAACCAAGATCATAAAGCCTGATACAATAGATTCCTGAAGGTCTGGAAAGCCTATATCCTAGTGACAGAGGCATAGGTAACTGGTCAAAGGATAGCAGGAATTATGGTTGCTTTTCCCTTCGTATACCCTTGCATTCTATTACTCTAGGTTGGAAAGGATCATAAAGGGAAGAGAATACAACTTAATTTCTTTGGTGTGAACGGTTCATTCATAAAGGGAACTGACATCTTGGTTACTTTCCTTTCCATCTTCATTTCCGGGTTCTATTTCTCTCTTCACTTCCATCTGTTGTCTAATAATAAGAAGAAAGGATACGAAGATAGAATGTCCAAGGTTCCTTTATTACCATTAATTAAACGAGGCATAAGATATACCACCAGAATATAGAATGTGAGGTGACATTAAACAAAAGATCATCACCGAACCCAATTAGACAAGGATATGATGAATGATTGATGCCTTGAGTTAAAGACCAAGAACCGTGTTTCCATTCCTAATAAGAAGAGAGATTACGTTCCTTTCATATCTTGGTCTATTTAAAATGAAATAATCTTAATTCCTGTTCTCTTATTTCATCATCGTATTCTCTTAATAGGTATAGATATAATTAGGAAAAGGAAATAGAAATAGAAACAAATAAGAAATGGAAGAATGAACCGAATTATATTTTATTATCTTCTTCGTAATTTCCTTATTCAATTTATAATAATGGAAACTGTGAACGCTTGGAAAGGAAGCATAATAAAGAACCATTAATAACCTGGAGCCATACCATTATGATAACACGACTCAAGATATTAAATAAGAAGTAGGAATAGATGACAAAGAACCAAAATAGACCGGAAACACCCAGGAAATTATGGTGCAGGAATTCTCTTATTGTTCTGGCTTGGAGATTACATTATTTATCTTTCATTCTAATTCTCTTTGTCATCTAACCGTTTATAATTAATTGGCGGTGTGGTTGGAATCATGCCTTGTAGACGGTCTAGAGGTAGATTATAGAAGTTCTGGTTTAGTTTCTTTCATTTCCTTCTCTTCTCAGTTTCATCTAATTAAATTCTCGGTTTTATCTCTTTCACTGCGTTCACTTCCTTCATCATAACCTTCTTGGAATCATTCTCTGAGATCATCCTTTAATATTATGGACGTATCTCTTAATTCATTGAGTTCCTTCACCGTTATGATCTCTTCATATTAAAGGAGGAAATGTAATGGAATGAACACTCTCTTCACACTGCCATCAACCTTTATTACCAGGAGATAGCCTTAAAGGGCCGGAACAAAGCCATGAGAGGCTTAACAGGTAGAAAGGTTCCTGATGGTGTAGGTGATGAGTGATTCCAACCGTTTAAAGAAGCCAGGCATCGTATCTTCTTCTTATTTCACTTTCCATTTGTTCTTTTGGCTTATTCCAGACCATAATATTAAAGGACAAGAATACGGCTTAATAATAATGGAGAATAAAAGTAAAGAGAATTAGAAATAAATATTCTCCTTTATTATTAATAGGAATAGAATATGATGAAGGTTTGTTTGTATTATTCTCTTAATATTAATATAGAAGGTTGTCTTCGTTAAATAATAGGAATGGAAATAGAAATTAATATGAAGGAACCGACAGAGATTAATTGGAATAGAAATTAAGGTTGATCTTGGTCTAATTATATAAAGAGAAATGAAATGAATTAAATAAGACAAAAGACCGCTCATTAATTCTATTTCTTTGTCATTAAATATTAAACGCAAGACCTGGCATAATAAGGAACCGAACCAACCATAATTCCTTTCCTATAATTATATGAATAGAATGTCAGTGAAGGGAACAAGAAGGCTTCGTTAAAGAGGTTTATAGGAATGGAAATTGAGGTTGTACACTTTTAATATTTGATGATAAAGAAGGAAACATGAAGATAAAAGTAAAGAGAATATTCCTGTATAACCTACCTTTCGGACACATTCTATCTTCCATACCTTTAATTAGATTGAGAGACTGTTCCCGAAGGTTGGAATGGTGTAGGAGAAGGCCTGAAGTTAATGGATGATTCCCGAAGGCATGGATAAGGTTGGTACGCTTCCCTTATTCTCAAGGTTAGGAGATGGAAGCATAAAGGGTAGAATGTACAGGAGATCTTATAGGAGGATTCTTGAAGGTGTTAATGTCTTGGTAATCAAGGGTCAAATTATTAAAGGTCAGATGCATCCTAATTATTGAGTGTTCTTTGGGCTGTACATTCAAGCTTATAGGAAGAGGGAAACAACCTAATTATCTTAATGGTACTTTCCTATAGCATTCCATCTTGGGCTTTATCTTTNAAAAGATAAAGTAATGCATGCTTTTCTCTTTTAATTAGAACAAAATACGAAGGCAACAAAAGGAAACAAATGAACTAAATTATAATTGGTGCTGCCTTTAAATTAAATAAAACACGCACTCACGCATTCGTTTGTTTTTATTAAATTTAAACGCAAGGCACCATCCATTATAATTTAGGTCATTTCCCATGGGCTGATTTCTTGTTTGTTTTAATTAATTGAATTCGTTCAAAGGAAACACGCTTCATTTCCGTTCTTTTCTTTCACTCACATTCCATTGTTTTCCTTTGTTAAATTCAATTAAAACAAACAAGCAAAGAAATCAGACCATGAGGTAGAAACTGCCGCTGGACGCTATTAACCCAGCTCACGGATCGCTTCTAAGGGTGAACTCTCCTTCCCATGGAATCTTCTCCTAATTTCGTTCACATTGCGTTTAATTAAATGAAATGAACCGTGCTTTCACTGCCTTCCATTACGTTCTTTTCATTTACTTTTACGCAATGCTCTCTTCATACTTTTACACACGGTCAATAAAGGCCAGGAATGCTGTGTCCAAAGGCTGATTTCGTTTGTTGCGTTTAAATTAATCACGCCTCATTCGTTCCTCACTGCGTTGTATTAATTTAAACTAAACAAATGAAATCACAGGAACAAACCCAGACCAGAATCACCAGTCAAAAGTTAACCGAGATTAGAATGGATGCTGCGGTTGGACTGGTCTCTAAGCCGGTTAGTAACTCAAGACATTAAGACTCAGCCCCAGATCAACCGTTCGTTCCCTGTCATTGGTTGGCTCCCTTCGTTTGTGGCTTATTTTAATTATAAATGAACACAACGCAATGAAAGAAATGAAATGAGGCGTGGTTCATTATAATTAAACAAGTCACATGCCTCTGTCTCCAAGTCTAGTTTTGAGTTCCCTTTCCAAGATTGGTGTGTGAATGAAGGGAAAAGGCACAAAGGTAAAGAGATGCACGCTTTGTTCCTTTTCGCTTCCTTCTCACACACACTGTGCGGCACAACAAAGAACACACACAGCCGCACCACACTTTCTATCTTCTTTTCTGGTGTGTGTTTGTTTAATTTAATTAAAAGAAGCGTGCTTTCATTACCTTCTTTTCAATTAAATTAATAAAAACACACCACAAAGATAGAAATGTGTGAAAAGGAGGAAAGGTATGTGTTTAATTTAACTAAATGAAGTGAAACAAATGACAGAAGGAAATGCGTGTTCACTTCATTTAAATTAAACACAACACTCTTTCTATATCTTGGAATGTAATATTAAATGAGGAGAAAAGATTAAAGGAAAGGGAACAAATACAATGAACTGAACAAAGAGAAAGTGAAGCGTGATTTGTTCCTTTTCCTTTGCTCTTTTCCCTTCTCTTTAATAATTAATACTCGCGGCCCTTCTCTTTATTTTCATTTAACGCCGCGTACAAAATATGAAAAAGAGCTAAATTGAATTAGAGAAAAGGTAAGGAACGCACGCTTTTGATTAATTCAATTTGCCTTTTTCCCCGTTTTGTGCTTTGTTCTTTCTTTCTCTTGGCCTAATTCTCGCTTCATTCCATTCCATTGAAATTAGGCCAACGAAAGAAGCGAAACAAAGAACAAAACACCATCTTCATATTGTTCCTGATTCCCTGTCTACCAAAGGACCCAGACAAAGAACCTTGACCTTTTACCTACAGCCTTAATCTCCAGACCTTTAATTCAGTCACCTTAGCACAAAGACACCATGGCATGATAGGGAAACGAGACACCTTCCATACCGTTACACCAGAATAAGACACTAAGATATGCCAAAGGAGACCTGGAATAACTAACCTACCGTCTGTTCCCTTTGCCACGACACCTTCAAGACACTGAGATAGAAATCATGCCTCCTATAATAATATGAAGAGATCTCTCCGTTCATTATTCACCATACCATTATAGGCTTAATATTGTAGGAGGAATGGAAACGGTAAAGGATTAAAGAGGAACGGTGGAATGAATCAGGAGTCGTTCATGAAGGTTTCAATCTTTAGAAATCCTTGAAGTTGTTGGGTTCGTGTGTGTGTTTAATTATAATGTAGTGAAAGGAATGAACGGAAGCATGAATTAAACACGAACGAACCAACAACGGAAAGGAACCACCCCAGATTGTACAGTGTAACACCTAGATTGGAAAGTGTGCTGTGTTGTTTAAATTGAAGAAAGAAAAGCACGCGTTCTCTTCTTTGCCTTGTCTTTTCTTTCTTACAATTAAACAGCACAGAAACCATGCCTGTAGGTGAAATAAGAGGAACGGTAGAAAGGCGGTGAAATGAACCGTGTGTAACCTCTTTGTT